GAATAAATGAAAATATGAAAATGAGATGTAAAGAATTAAATTGAAGCAAAGCTTTTTAACAAGTAACGCTCTTAAATAATAAGATAATTAATTCTTAACAAAAATAAAATAAAATTTAAAAAAATAATAAAAATAAAAATAACCTTAATTTAGGCCTAAGAATATTTTTGAGGAAAAATTTTTCCCCACCGGACACCACCCCTGGTATTTTTGAGTCGAGGTTTCGGGGCCTGAATAAAGATTGCTAGAGCAAGTGAAATGTTTTACTAGAACTAATTTAATCTTCCAGTTATCTAAATCTAAAGCCTGTTTTCCACTAGGCGAATTTATTCGTGCGAAACAAAGCATCGGTTCGCTTCCTGAGCTCTGATTGTTTGCGCATTTTTTCGCTTCGCAAAAACTCCTATAGAAATGTGAATGCGCATGCGCATGAACCGACGCTTTCGATTTGCGCGAATAAAGTGGAAAACCGGCTTAAAACTATCTCCCACCAGACACCATCCCGGTATTTCTGAGTCTAGTTTTCGGGCCGAAAGATTATTATTTGCGTGCTGAATCAAATCATGATAAATAGGACTAAGTTATTGCTACTTAAGTACAGTAAAAATTAAATAATTTCTATAAGTTCTATATAAAGTCGTCTTTTCCCCCACATACTACGCCTTCTTTTTCAAACACGTGGTAAATTTCTACAAGTTGCTGCGTTTTTCAGCAAATTCAAAGGGACCGTATCGTCACCAAGAGAACATCCAGGTTACAGCAAACTATAATTAAGACAGCTTAGGATCTGTCTCTTATACACATCTAGATGTGTATAAGAGATTTAATTTTATAAAAAAAAAAAAAAAAAAAAAAAGGTTGTGTCAAAGAAAGTAGACAATTGGCTTACAAACGATATTGAGTTGTAAATTATTGGTCCGGTCAAAACTGGAACAGCCGGACCGCTTCCGACGCCCTTGCCCTATAATATATTCCTTTGTTTAGGAATTTCAATTTTTTTTTCGCACAATATTTGTTTAATTGATATTTTTATTTTCTGACAAAAACAAATTGAAAAATATACACGGATTAGACTTGACTAAAGATTAAATATTTGAAAAAATAAATAAAAGATACTGACGTACATTATATAAATGGAAAATAAACTCCATATATTAACGTCATTATAATCAATAAGATTTTATACTTCTAAAACTTTATAGTTCATTCCATTTTTTAGTCAATTATAGCAAAGCAATGAAGAGATTTAAGTATTGATGCTGCTGCTTATGATGACGACATTAGTTTATCTGAATGAACTTATGTGATGATTTACCTGAATATATAATTGTATTCAAAGGTTAATTTTATATTTTTCAGCAATGAACAACGGCACCAAAATCGACATCTCCCTGGCTCTAGTCAAGTACCTTAAATTCGCCTGGTATCTTACTCCAACAACTGGTAATTAAATGATGAATTTATAAATTCACCATGGTGAATACAAATAGAAGAATAAGGATTTTGTTTATATATTGAAAATTTCCTAATACCGTAATTATATTATTCAATGCTCAAATAATAACATGAACATGTTTAGATTCTATACTAAAGGTGAAAAGAACGTGAAATAAAGTGAAATTAAGGTAATAATAAAAAAATAACCTGATTGCTAAGTATATTTTCTTTTCCTTGTAAATTACCAGATAATAGAAACAATAAAATTATGTAAGTGAAATCACCATTACATTAGTTTTTATTATTATATTTGTTATAGTTTCTAATGTATATTTTAATGATATTAATCAAATATAATATAATTTGTAATCATTATTATAAAACATATTCATTATAATTGTGAATGAAATATCAATAATATAAGATTGTGTTGAGCTTACGATGATCAATATTACAAATATTTTTAATTGTTTTAATACAAAAACGCAAATAATTTTCTTTGTCGATTCAAGGTTAAATAGACTTTGAATATAGGTTGCTCAATCAACTTACCTAATTTCAACGTTGATTCAACTTCAATGTATAACGTTAAACCAACATCACATAACGACGTTGTAGTGAGGACGAGAATTGACGTTGGATAAACGTCTACTTTACATAACCGACCGACACAATTTCTACGTCGATTAAGTCCGTGTAAAAAGTTGATCCAACGTCACATCACGGTGTTCTATTGACGACCAGAATCGACGTTGAAGTAGACATTGAGTTCATGTCAGTCGATTAAACAACCTAAAGTAAAACAATTTTTCAACTTCGATTCGTTTAACTACATAATCCTACGTATATTCAACGTCGATTCTCCTCCTCAGGACGTCCTGATGTGACGTTGATTCAAAGTTGTACACTGACGTTGAATCAACGTTGATAGCAGGTCAATTGATTGAACAACCAGAAGTAAACGTCTATTCAACGACGTTTACGTCGTGATATGTGATGTTTTCTTTCCTTCCTTTGGTTTGTTTATAAATTCTTTTAGGCGATTGCCTAATTCATTATTAAACAATGAATATGTTTAATTTAATTGTTATAATATTTTAGTACAGTAATTTATATTTTAGGTGATTTATATTCCACTCTATCCTCTCCCAACAAACTTTTCCTTTAACAAACATGCCTTCTTTCTAGCACACTCGCCCCTAACAAACTCGCTCCCAAATAAAGTCACCATTTTAGGTTTTGTCATATTAGACAGGATGTGATAATTATAATTATGATGATTAAGTTTAATTATTACATTTCATTTTAATAGCTTTATATAGGTGTATCATAATTTAAGGCATAGTTCATACAGGTACAGTAGATTCCGTTTTGTCTACAGGCGCATATCGATTTTGTTATTTTATGCTTACAAGTTGAAGAAATACTGTATATATTATTTACATTCCGTTTTAAAAGCTTTATATAGGCCTATCATAATTTAAAGCATTTCATATTACTGTAGATTCCGTTTTGCCTATAAGCGCTTATCGATTTTTTTATTTTTATGTTCATATATAGTTTAAGAAATACTGTATATATATTATATATATTCCGTTTTATTAGCTTTATATAGGCCTATCATAATTTAAGGCATATTTCATATTACTGTAGATTCCGTTTTGTCTATAGGCGCATATTGATTTTGTTGTAAAGGTATGTTAAACAGTACAAGGTCTAATAATTGATGGGGATATTTTTTATATTAAGTTTAATTCAAATTTATTAAGTTATGTTGCCAAATTAATTATGGACTTAAATTTTTCATTTGCAAATTAGTCAGTTCCATTTTGTTTTATTTTATTTTCCAGATTGGACTAAATATATCCATTTGTCGTTAAACTTGTAAATTTTAACGTGAATACAGGCATAAAAAACATCCGCATTTCAATTCAAACTTTCAGAATTTCCATTTAATATTTTTATAAACTGAGTGTATAATGGGTTGGGTAAGATCTATTAAGTTAAACAAAATATATATTAAGATACTTCTGGACATGGTTGTCTAGTAGTCCAGGCATTTTTTTTTTATCTTATGTGGAACACAATGAATTATAAAGTACAATGGTATAGTACTTTCATATAATTTTAATGGTGGCATTTTTTTCTCTGAAGACGTAGATAGTCAAAGTTTAGTAGCTTGAATGGACACTAGAAAAAGTCTAGATGACACTGTCTATGTATTATTGTGTGCTTCTGAATAAATATGTTTAAACTGCAGAATCTGGTAAAAAGTTTGTTTTTATTGCTGATTTTTTTTTAAATATGACAATATAACAACATTTTTTATTCACAAATTCAAGGTCGTATTGACGTCGATGAATGAGGTTGTTTCAACGCTAATACCTGATATCCAGCTTTGTCTACCCTCTTGCAAACGTCGAATCAAGCCTCAAGGTTGATGTTTTACGCTAATCCAACGTCGATATTTAAGTCGCTCTACCGTTCAAAACTAACGTTAACCGAACTATGTGTCAACGTCGATTTGCGGACGTTGCATGCTTCAACCATGATATCTGACGTCGAATCAATTAAGTCGATATTTGACGTCGATTCACTTTTCATATCCAACCTCCTGTCGACGTCGATGCGTGACGTTGTTTCAATGTTGATATTTGACGTCGACTCGCCTTTGAAATCCAACGTTTATCCAACCTCTTGTCGACGTCGGTACTTGACGTTGTTTCGACGTTGAAATTTGACGTCGATCCACCTTTCAAATCCAATATTTATCCAACCTCTTGTCGACGTCGGTACTTGACGTTGTTTCAACGTTGATATTTGACGTCGATCCACCTTTCAAATTCAACATTTATCCAACCTCTTGTCGACGTCAGTACTTGACGTTATTTTAACGTTAATATTTGACGTCGTTTCGACGTTGATAATTGACGTCAATACGACGTTGCGCTGATAGACGTCGATCCAACGTCGACATTTGGCGTCGATTCACCTTTCAAATCCAATGTTTATTCGAAGTTGCTTCGACGTCGGTAAATGACGTTGTTTCAACGTTGATTCGACGTGGAAATGTCTGCTGGGTTGTAGCTTTTTGTTGAATTGAATTGAGTTTTTGAATTTTGTATCGTGATTTTATAAAATAAGCGTAATATATTGTAATTAAGATAATACTTCGTTCGTCCGTAACTTAATTTTTTTGTTAAACATTCCATTTTTATTATACTATATTCAAAAAATTATTAAATACGGTAAAGTTTAAAACGTTCAATCAAAAGTAGAACAAACAAATGTTGTACTTTTTTTTGTTGATAATTACTGTTTTAGTGTTAATTAGTATTATTGAAAAGATTATACAGAATTATGAAAGTAATTTTAAAAAAATAATGATATCTTAGTCATTTGATGTATTTTTGAAAGTCATGATAACATTTTAAAACCCATTAATTCACATTAGGCTGTTTACATTTCCGCAGTACGGTATGCTCTGTTCTGTACCTAACGGAAGAATGCTAATTAGGATTTTTTTTTTTTTTTTTTTTTTTTTAGGACATTTTTTTTTTTTTTTTTGCTAGGACAAAGTTTGAGCCAAACCCCTTTTTTCATATTTCCCAAAGTTTTTAAATATCCAAAAATCTATCTCATTAAGCGTTTTTTATCTCATTAAAACCAACGTTTTCGTCGAAGTAAGTAAAAGAATACACTGTATTTATTTCTAATTACTGGGATAAAAAACGAGTTTTTATTTTACGACTAGGCATATCATAGGTTTATAATGTGTACTTTCGTTGGCCATTGCCTAATTGGGTTCTACTTGCTGCCCTGAAAATTTGGGGGGGGGGGGGTGCGGCCACATCCCACGCAGCCTACTCCCCTGTATTAAACAGAATGTCGAATTCCAAAGATGAACAATTTCGTATGGTAGCAATTCCAAAATTTACAGCATTCATTTTGAAAAGAAGCCCCACTTAATTTAGTTTGCAAAATTAATCTCGAAAAGAAGCCAAATTTAGTATTTATTGTACTTTGTAATTCAAGCTATTGTTATTAGATATATTTTACCTTTAAACATACCTACACACCGAATAAACCAACAGTTTAATTTCAGTAGAATTAAATAATATTATTGGTAATATTAAAATGATGTCTTATAGGCCTATAGTGTATTTATACTAAAATCTCCTATGTGCTTCACACAACAAAAAATTATATTAAAAGCCATGTCGAAATGGCACCACAAAAACTCACAATTCCTTGTTTTGAAGTTGATTCTCTTCTTGACTGGTAGCCAACTAGTAGTACTACCATGGTACTACTTTAATAATAATAATAATACTTTGTGCATGGTTTGTGATGGCTTGTGTTGCATTTTGATACTACATGTCAAATACACTAGGCCTTTGTTGTCTTCGATAAAATTGTGTTAATTTCGCCAATCCTATCACATGACAACTAGTTTCCCAGATGGTGACCGCCATCTATCGGCAAAATGCAACCAGTAATCATTGCTGCATGTTCGGAGGCCAGAAATGCAACTGCTGCTGTAACTTCGTCTAATTTAATTGGTCGTTTTTGAAGTATGTGCATCCCATTTGCAAAATCCGTCACCTGCAAAAGAAAAAGAAAGGGAAAAAACCAATAGCTTCAATATTACTTATCTATTTCTAGTGGTATACCATGGAGAAAATATATAATATATTTACTCTATGAGTATACAGAGCTATTGATGAGCTAAACGTATGACCGAGAGGTAATGTTTTTTTTTCTGAGCTAAAAAGACTCCCAGCTACCAACGAGATGCATCAGTTTTTAGTTCATTGATTTGGACTTGTCGCTTAGCTAATTGAAATAACACTCATGAACGTAAAATGGCGTAAAGAGCAACGTATCCGTTAAAATGTCGGTATTGACGCTTCTCTCTGGCTGTCGCGAGTACCCAGGCCCACCAACATTTCCTATTTTCAAAATGAAATAAGACAACTGGTATTACAAGCTTGGGTAAAACATTTAAAGTTAACATTTTTCAAATTAAAGTGTGATGTAGAACATGGTTAAAAGTGCTTGAAAAATTAAACAGGTAGACTGTAGGCCTACAACTGTTTATCTAGATGAATGGTACATGATACAACATCTCAATATTGTGTGAGAGAAAAAAAATAATGTGTCATCTCGCACTACTATATAATTTTTAAATTATTCAGCATACGACAACTTTTGCTTCATTCTCGTGCAACACCCCAGATTATACCGCAGATTGGCATACCACTGCTAGATATGTTTATTTACCTGACCGTGATTAAAACCGTCGGCATCATATAAATTTGTGATTATAACTCCAGGGCTGCAAGTATTAAAGTAGAAATATTTATTTTAAATTGTTTTTTATTGTATTTTACTATAGGCCTATGCTTAAAACAAACTCTGACAAGAATATAAAATCATTCATAAATATTGATACAGTAAATGAAAACAAAAATCAAAAGCCTACAACTTTAATCCCAATACATAACATTTCACAACTGTGTAGGCCTAACAGTTAACTACAATTAATAGTCAATACACTGAAAATAAAATAATGCTCTTACTTTACAGAGTTTACTCTGATTCCATATTCGGCAAAAGCTGTCAAAGTCGGAATTTAAAAAGAGAGATATAATTGAAACAATATCGATTTTGATTCGACACATATAATATGATATAACGATACAACAACGCAAACCAATCCTTTTGGACACCCTATTAGATTGGGACACTTTTTCAGACACGAAATGAGTAAAAGTATATTTTTTAACACTACGGTCAACTCCTATTCAGGGGACACCCCTATTAAGTGGACACTTTTTTGCTCCATAATAGAGTTTTTGTTGTAGTTATTTTATCATTATAGGCTTTTGCCTAAAACAGCATGATTTGTGCAATACACAGATTATAAGATGTTCAATTAGATTTTTTTTTGTTTATTACCTTTTGCTGTGTTCAAAGTCAGTTGATCCATGCCAGCTTTTGACATTGTAAACGCAATATTTATTCTAAAAAGAAATATTAATAATCATGAGAAACGCTTGCTGTTCCCATCGACATGCAAAGTCTATATTTAAATTTCAATTTTTTGTGGAGCCCGGCTGTGGAACATTTTGGGTGGGGAATTGATATTGTATATCAAAAAGCGTTGAATGCCAATGGTATTACACTGTATTTGCTATTTTCCGGATACATTTTACTTGACCATAGTGCCAAGGCCTTTAATTGTTTTTTAGAAGACTGCTGATCCCTTTGGACTGGGTGCCCGGGACTTCGTCCTCGAGAGCTCATCATGGGCGTACGCCACTGTATATGCTCCGCCCCTAGATTTACTCCTTGCGCAAAGCTCACTGGATGTAATATTTCTATTCAGCACTCTCCTCTTCTAAATCCTTGATACGTCACTAAAATTAGAAGCTGATTTATATTTTAAATATTTCAATGAAAATATTGTTCTGTTGATAAACCTCTCCAGTGGGTATTTTCTGTGTACATCTCACCATGATCTCGGGGTTCTAAGTGCCGTGGAGAGTGCTCACTTTTAATATAATTATCTTAATATTACAGCCTATTTATAGCTATTATTTATTGCTTTGTCCCGCTTGTTGTATCTATGTTTCTCATAGACATATGGCAATTGCAATTTATAAAAGTTTATTTTCGTTGCCCAACTTTTTTTTTTTATCTGAGTGTGAATTCACCACGTCATCTAGACCACATAGTCTAGAAAAAGGCAAAAATACTTACAGGTGTTAAGCTTCCACAGGATGACACGTTCACTACACTACCTGTTAGATAAAATCCTCTTATTTTGTAACTTCGTTTTATATACAGTATATAATTATATATTTATATTGTTTATTGTTTTAATTCTGTAATTTTCAACTTTCATTGCTGTAGAATTTTAACCAAATGGAATAAAAATAAATAAATAAATAGATCATGTACCAAATTAAGTTATCTGTTTCGGCTTTTACCGCCTTTTTTCTTCATCCCAAGCCCATCCCATTCAAAATTGTAATATCGCCTATATAGTTTTAAGGTAATGAATCTGCCAGTGGCCACGCCAGCGTCTGAAATGGGGGAGAGGATGGGTGTGAGGGGGCAAGGTAAAATTTTAGCGGGTGTGGT